CTTTTGACAGTGTGTTTGTTATTTCGCTTGCGATCATTGTTTGGCAGTAAATGTTGTTATCTAGTATTGCAAATCACTATGGCAAAATATTATGCTCCAGGATGCACCAACAATGTTTGGCAGGGTGACAAAAATTTTCTTTTCAGGTTGCCCTCCAAGCCGGGTAGGAGAGTGAAATATTTTGAGTTATAATAATGAGTTACAGTAGTTGAATGAGAAATAAATTACTGCTTGTTGCATTTGATTGTTTCATCACAGTCATAAAATAATTGCATTTATCAGTCGCACAGTGAAGGGTGGATCTCAGAGAGGGAGTGATCATCCCCCCACCACTTGTTAAAAAACTTGTTAAAAAAAAATTTTGTTTCTTAAAAATAATAAACAAAACAAATATATTCAGGTGCAAAATTAACACAATAACTATTATAATAATCTAATAGTTAAAATTATTAAATTAAAAGTCATAGTGTTATTATTTTATTAATTCATATTACTAAATTCTTTAACTATTTAGTTATTATGTTTATCTATTGTACACAACAAGAAAAAGTATTTTCACAAAAACATCAATAAAGAAGGTCTAGACTGATCCAACTGATCAGAAATGAGTTAGCTCAAGACCACCCATATAGAAGAGACCAAAGCCAATGGTGTATTAGAGTATAAAGAATATAACTACCCATAGTCACCACTGGGTTTCACAGAATGATTACATTTAGAATCTATCCCAAGATTCCAACTTCACAACAGCAAATGAGTGAGCATGCTCATACTCCTAAGCAAGTCCAACAACAGTCTGGTTGTCTCCAGGATAGCCATTGCCATCAACATGGGTCAACATAAAAGGCAAGCATATGGGTAGGAAATCAGTAGACAGGGGCCCCAGAGGAAAGTAATACATGCAAAGTAGAGCACGAGAATGGAAAATGGAACACATGAGAACCATCTCTGCATCCCCCATCAGGACATAGACAAGCCACCTTGACAAATTCTGTATTATGAAGATGAAGTTTTTCATAAAAATGTGTTAACAAGCAATGCATACTAACTTCATTCTAAAAAACAAAATTAGTCAGATATCCACTTCCTATTTTCTCCTAACCTCCATTAAGGAACAGTAAAGGCTTTTAAAAGTGTATTACCTGAACCCATACAATTACATTGCACAAAAGAAAGATCAGTAATGGAGTTACAACAGAAAAGTACTATACATGTTCTGTATGGAAAGCCAAAAATCTCAAAAATATGTTTCTGAGACTAATTAATTGAGAGATTTACAAATTCTAGAACAATATAATTACAACACATTGAGAACACAATTACCAACACATGTTTCTGAAAATGTAATTGAAATGTTTTATATTTACCAAAATCTGTACAATTGTGTTATTGTGGAATACAGTAGGAAATCCTATTAAATAACAAATGTAATTAAAATATGTAATACTTCACGTATAATTATAAACACAATCATTCTTTGTCAAGACATGTTATACAATTGCTGATCAATGCTTTTATATACACTCACAAATCCTATCCTTTAAAATGCTCATTTATCTTTGAACTTTACAAAAAATGCTATTAAACATTGTCTTCTTTAGATAGATCTATCACAACTCACAAAACAAAATGATCAAGACAGCAAAGTATGGAGTGTAGTAGGTGTTAAACACAACATAATGAACAAATCATGGCAGATAAGTGTTCTTGATGGAGTTCATGTTACGAAGCAACAAGTGTTATCAGTTAGTTGACAATGCACAATTGTTTACTCAATGGTCGAATAAGTAAAAAAGTGTTCACTTGAACTTAGAATGTATTAAAGTTCTTGTACAATAAACTAATGAACTATTGAAAGACTTTTTATCTACACCAATTATTTCAGTTAATTTTACAATTTTATTAAAAATTAGTGTCTTTACTATAAAATCTGTCGATAACAGCAAGCAATAACACATCTTGAGCCCACTATCTTTCATTTAAAACAAAAATTGTAAAATTTACATTAAAATAGGTTTAGGTTAAATAGAAAGCTCTAATTCTTTTACAAAGGAAAACTCTTAGTGTTTTAAATATACAAATATTATATTTTTATTTCTTTTATGTCTTTTATTCCCTAGAGAATAAAATGTACCTCAGATTGATGTCTTCTATGAGTTGGTGATTTGAAAGAAATAACAGTGGCCACATTTGGTTTATCATATGCATCTAATGCAACATCATACAACAGTCTCAGAATTATGCAGGCATAAGACAATTGAAGAGGAATATGAGCAGGAATACTGCAAACAGAATAATTTCAATTTTAAGTAGGTCCTAAAATTTAAGTTGAAATAAATAAAACATTTATTGCCAACTAAATCTATCTAAAATATGTGTACCTACTTTATCATTTCAGCATTTGAATTTTATCTTACAATCTGACTAGAAGGTAACAAATTAATGACACTATTTACTGTTAATAACTGAATCTTATTGCATAGTTTTTCATAAATTTAATAATATTAATTATTTTGGTAGAACAGACAAATAATAATTTAATTTTTTGCCACAAAAGTAAAGCTTATAAAATAGTTATTTCTCTTCATTTTATATTTTTTAAAACATCTTTTGCCCCTAATCAAAAGATCTTTAAACAAACCAGTAAATTGCTTGAAGATTTTATACACATGTTTAAAAAAACAAAAATCTTACTACCCAAAGCCAAGAACTTACCTTGGTTCAAGAACACTGCCAGTAAAAAGATTGTGGAATGTATTTTCTTCTCGAGGAGTTAATGTTTCATCACATTCCTCCAAATTTTGTTGGTTGGTGAAACATCCCAGAAGACGCAATGTATCACATAAACTTGTAAGACATATCTGAAACGTTAACATTCACATTAACTTGTTAAATAAAAATGTAAGTAATAAAACGATATAAAAAGAAATGAAATTGAAAGTGATTCAGTTTTTGTGTTTCAGGGCAATGGTTCTCAACTGAACTGGTAGAAAATAAAAAAATTTAAGAATTTTTAAAATACAATTAGACACAACAATTCTAACATGTTTTAACTTCTGAAAGCACAAATTTCAAAACCCATCTTGTTTTCTCTTTAACAATACTCCCTTAATTTAAAATTTAACACCTTCAATAATGATTTCCAACTTCATAAACAATAACTTATTAACATACCTCATTATGGAAAAACTTCGCATTTGCAGGTTCAAATCTCATAGCCACAGTAACAGTGTTAAAAACCATATGTAAAAGTTCTAATACTTCTGAATATGGCGTTTCATTCCAAGGAGAGCTAGGATGTTCACAAAGACACCCCTCCATTGACACAAGAACACTCATCACATATAC